TTATTTTGTTTGGTCATATCGCCCTTTTGCAGGTTTCACAGTTCTTCAACTGTATTCTAGCATTTTTGAATAATGTCCCTTACTATCTTCGCCCATGCTATTTTGAAGCGGTTATTTCCTATTTATTCAAGCAGTGCAGATTGTCACTTCTGAACAGGCTGGCGCGGTAAGTGATCCCCTCCGAAAATTTTTTGTTTCATAATTGGACCCTATAAGGCTTTGTATTCAGTCCCATATCCACTTCGTCGTCTCTGGTCAAAGCTCTGGCCGTTTCATCGGTATCGTTTGTGGGTTACGTGCCGGATGCGGATCTGGCACCTTTACCAGCTTCTCTGAGATTGGAAGATAAACATCCTTCATCACTTGCAGCTGGTATGCTCTACTTCATAATTTACCTTCAAAGTAGACAAAGAAATTTCAGGGTTGAGTAAGATGGAAAATAATTAAGATAGTGAAAATTAGCGAGAGTAAGACTCCAAGGTGGTGGCGTTTTTGAGCATCCTTTAGTACCACTTCCCCGATTACTGGTCATCTACAGTCCGCCCGCGTCTTTAGTTATCGACCCTGAATAAGTGTTCGTGGTCCGACCAGCATGTCTCGCTTTCACTCCTTTTCGACTACTTCGGGTGCGTATCAGGTTCATTCTCAGGTCTAGGTCTGAATGCCGCGCACGCGAAGTTTTTTGCGAAATCGCTTTTGTAGCGTTTCCACTGCTCCGGCCTCGGAGTTCATATCCCACTTTTTTTGGTTTTGTAAATTGGCCTACGGGCTTGTAAAAGTATCCTGTTCAGGTCTCCCACACTTCGCCGTGGATATCTGGCGTAACTGGGGACGTGATACTTTCATCGCTTTACCTGGCTGTTTACTTGCAACAGGGCGATATTATGATGCCAAGTGAGTTAATGATTTTCGTCTCATTTTTTTTGTACTTTGGAGATTAGCTCCGACCAGAAGGTCTTCACTGTTTTAGGAACATAATACTCTCATATGCTGGCGCTTTGCGGCACGGTCTGATTCCAAATCTACTAGCAGAAGGCAAAGGTAAGTGTTTCTTGAACACTTACGGAATATAACCACTGGAACACCCTTGTAGCAGTACTTGTAGGTTTGCACTTTGGGCTACTCTTGAAGGCACATTCCGCAATGACCGGGTAGGCAGAGGAGCAAGCGGAGGTCCGCAGCCAATGTGTCATCAGCATTACAGGGCCTCTCCTTTTTACTGTTCTAAGAAGAACGCACGAACAAAGCTCAATGCTTGGGAGGCTCCGCCCGTGCTATACTGCGGACAATATACTGCGGACAATATCCCAAATCTCGTTCCTGAAGCCCTTCGTTTTTCTCCACATTCAGTCACTTGCTCCCTTTCTTCTTTGAAGGCGAAAAAAACCCACTTAAGCGTTCCGAATGAATACAAAATCAATCCATGAAGAAAGGCATCTAACTGCTTCTAAATAGAATGGATGTATCTCGTCGACATCGAACGAACGGGATCTTCGTCCTTGTTTCCCCCAATTTTTCTGGGCTATTTGCCTATATCCCCATTGGAATTACAAACTTAATGTTAGGATTTTCAGGTGCGAGATATAATTGCCGTGATGCGGTCTGGTTCTTCTTGTATTCCATTGAACGGTACGTAAAGGAAGCTCCAAGCGGTCAACAGATCCTTCACAGTCCAGTCAGGCGAATTTATCCCTCGGACGATACGATCTTCGGAGAGGATGAGAAAGTTGGTTTTTTTGTATGACACATTTGTTTGCCAATAAGGAGACTAATAACACTGGGAGAAGTTAATTAAAAGTCTACTGCAAAATTCGGGTTGCTGCAACTAAACCGAAGATTTCTGCCTGAGCCCAAAGGG